GAAAGGGAGGAAGAGAGAGGAAGAGAAACCCCTCAACCCCCAAGAAAAGACGAGAAAAGGGAGCCCTGCAGAGGAGCACCCCTGGTGCCAGCCACGAGGGGTGGTGGCAGGGCCCCTTGTTCTGCTGGCTCAGTGCCACCTTCTGGAGCTACTCCTTCCAAACGCCCAGCCGGCACCAGCAAGTCATCCCAGGACCCAGAGCTGCACAGCACCTCCCTGCCCTTTTTCTAAAATGCTCACACCTCCGGCTGTCCCCACAGTTAATTTCGGAAGGCACCCCAGGCTCCCCATCAACCACATCCCAGGGGACCACCTGCCAGCCCAGGTCGTCAGATACTTGCTCCCGGGAGATTGGCAGGAGCCGGCTGGATTTCATTAATGCCCATGGCGGAAAAGGGCTTTGCTGCCTGGTGATGGATGTGGGCTCCTGGAGGGACTCCCCACAGGGCGCCGGCATGGTGGCTGCGCGGAGCCAGGAGCCTGCCGACCCAAGGCCCAGATTGTGTCCACCCTGGGGACAGCAGCCCTGGTGCCCGTCTCCCTGCTGGAGAAAGCCCTCCAGGGGCCTCTTGCCCATTTTCCCCTTGCACGAGCTTGATCTGACCCACAGCATTGGGGGATGGTGCCCTGGCCTCTTGGGTCCCCCCCTTTTTATTGTTAATGGAAGGACTGGGGGTTGAACCCAGGACCTCATGCCTGCTAAGCACACACTCTGCCTTCCAGGGATCTTTGTCTGGTGGGCTTTCCTCTGCTCTCCAAGGATGATTCCACTGACAATGCAGTGAAGGCTGGCTTCCCCCGAACCTGGCCCGGACCTACCCGTCTGCAGGGGGCTGGGAGCAGAAGGTGAGATCTCAGACCTCCTGGGGGCCACCCTCCACTTTACTTACAAAAATTATGGGGATGAGAAAAATTGCCCTTCCATGAATGCCATCTCCTGGTTGACTTTTGGAGACTAGTTTAAAATGACCTTAGGCTAAAAGGACCAAGCCCACAAGCTGAATAGAAAAAAAAAATCCAGGAGAGTTCAGGATGGTGGGACAGACGGGAACCGCCAGCGCTGTTGTTTCGTGGTCTGTGCTGGTGGACATCCATGATCTAGAACAGTGGGAGGGGGTCTGTCCGCGGACTTGCAATTATGCAGATAACCGTGGCTGTAACTTCCCGAGCGTGTGAGCAGAGTCTAGTCTCGAACTTTTGGAGCATCTGTTCCCTCACTGGGAAAGGGGGTGACACTGATCCCAGTGGAAGGGCAATGGACTCTCGAATCAGACAGGCTCAGGTTTAATACCACTTTGACTACCTGGAGGCTGTGAGCCTGGAGTGACTGGACACAGGGGAGTGGAGGAAATTGTATCAGCGAGGCAGGGGCTCACCCATCACTGCGCCGCAGGCTGTGGGATGACCGGCATTTTTCGCCGACCAGGGTGGGGATGTGCGGTGGTGATCTGAGCAGAGGGCCGCAGGGTCTGGCGTGTTTTGGAAGGACCACTCTGGCCACTGGGTTGCGAACAGACTGAAGGGAAACAAGAGTGGATGCGAGCGGCCCTGCAACAGTCCAGTAGAGG